ATCTCGTCCAAGGCCATGGGCATCATGAACTCCTTCGTGAACGACATCTTCGAGCGCATCGCCGGCGAGGCGTCGCGCCTGGCGCACTACAACAAGCGCTCGACCATCACGTCCCGCGAGATCCAGACGGCCGTGCGGCTGCTGCTGCCCGGCGAGCTGGCCAAGCACGCCGTGTCCGAGGGCACCAAGGCGGTCACCAAGTACACCAGCTCCAAGTGAGTGCCGCCCGCACTTGGCGCTCCCCAAAGGCTCTTTTCAGAGCCACCCACCTCGTCAGAGAAAGAGGCTGTCCTCGTGCCGCCTGGGGACGTCTTCGGACACACGAGCCCTCTGCCTGCCTTCCCCGGCCGGCCGGTAAAGCACGCAGCCCCGCCTAGGCCACGTGTCGCCTGGGTTTCGAGTCCCTGGCGGTGTAGCTGGGCTTGCTGAGGTGGGGAGGACCGGCGGGAGGGCTCACACAGGCTGGGCCTTGCCTCAGAGCGCTCGGCTCGTTGACGCTCCCGCCAGCGTGGCCTTTAGGCCCAGAGATAACGGTGCGTGCCTCCCTACCTTGTGGCCTCAGCCAGAGGCTGCTGAGATTGGGACGCTTACCCACGAGGGACACGGAAAGGCTGAGTTCACAAAGGTGCACAACAAGTTGGTGTTCTCCAGTGGCAAAGCTGTGGTGACAATCCTCTCGATCCTCTTCGTGACTGTGCTCCTGAGCTCCGTGTGTGTGTGTGTGTGTGTGTGTGTGTGTGTGTGTGTTAGTGGGTAGAGAGGAAATCACTCAGCACGGCTTGGTGATACACCTCTGTAACCCCAGCGCCCTGGGAGGCTGAAGCAGGAGAATCCTAACTTTGAAAAAAAGAGTCCCTTGTGCCGGGCGTGGGGGCGCCACGCCCCTGATCCCAGCACTTTGGAGGCAGAGGCAGGCGGGAAGATGCTAGTTCGAGGCCAGCCTGCAACTACATGGTGAGTTCAAGGTCAGCCTGAACGACATAGCCGCTCCCTGTCGCAAAAACCAAAAACTTAAAGTCCAGCCTGGGCAAAGTTTGCAAGACTGTCACAAGTCTGAAGTTTTAATTTTATTTATTTATTTATTTTATTTATTTTTTTTTTTTTAACGTGGGAGGGCTGGTGATAGAATTCAGTGCCATGGCCCTGGGTTCAGAAGTGATGGGGACATAGCCAGGGGGTAGAATGGGCTTGCTTCCCATCCCAAGGAGTAGGAGGAAAGACTATGCAAGTTTCATTGTTTTTATGGCACACTTTATTTCTTCCCAGTGAGAGTGGTTTTAAATCTCTAACTTCTAGCATGGTAAAAGAATACTTTTTTTTGCCCCCCAAATTTGTAGTAATTTCATACAGCAGCTATATAGTTTCTCCCCATCCCCTCATTCAGAGAGGGTTTGGCCTGTACCTCCCTTGTGTGAGTCCCTGGGTTTGATCTCTAGCACCAAAACATTAATTAAAAAATTGAAGTTAGGGGCTGAGGTTGTAGTTCAGTGACAATGTATTTGCCTCAATTCTGAGACAAGGTCTCACTTAGGTGGCCAGCGGGACTCCCTGCTTGCCATGCCCCTGCCTCAGCCTGCCTCGGTGCTGAACTTACAGGGGAAATTTCATTTCCAGGCACTGAACCCAGGAGGGGGGGAGGGGGCGGGGCGCAGGAGTCACCCGAGACGCCAGGGTAGTCATACAAGCCGCATGCAAATGAAGGTTCCGAAGGCGCGCGCTTGGATTCGCGAGTATTCAGCGGCGCGGAGGCGGGGGGCGGGGGTGGGG